GGTAAGCAGAGAGACTATGGAAAGTTCCGTAAAAGAATTTCTAGAAGAATCAGTATTTGGGGATGAAATGTCATCAGTAATAGGCAGGACTAAAAATGTATAAGCTGGAGTCATGAGCTTGTATTTTTTTCATTGAGGCTCCTGGAGAAAACATAGACCTTTGTGTTAAGTATGACAGACTTCCTCAAGCTCTCTGTCAGCCTGAAGGGAGAATCCCAATAAGCACTGAGGATGGGACCTTCACTATATGATTGAGAAACCAAAAGCAAAGGTAAAGATCTTCTGCTTGTAAGAATTTACCATGTTTGGTTCTGGACACATACACACAAATTGTGAAATACATAAGCACATATGAACACACATTTTTATGCCATCAAGTACAATACACACTCCTTCCTCACAGGTCATACACAGAAAAATCACATAAACATGATAACTCACGTGTTGGTCCATATGTGTACAACAGCACATATACTCATTCTTATAAGTAAATTGTCTATTTCTCAACTATTCATGCTAGCCAGAGTGTATCCATTCTTCAGATGCCATTATAATCTAACTCAAAACTCTACAATTCTACTCTGACCTCTCAGAGTGCAACAATTTTAAAGATTACACTTCAAGTCTCTCAAGTCTCCCAGGGAAGAGAGACATATGAACAACTATAAGTAAATGTCACAAAGTACAATAAAATATACAATAGTACACCTAAGGAAGTTTTGACAGAGGAGCAAAGATGTAGTCTGTCTTAAACAAGACAAGATACACAACAGAGGCTTGTCTGTTAGACCCACTTTATTCAGTAGCAATCATATGACAAGTTACATATGTACCTGAGCTTTCACAGTCATCTTAGTGCCTGTTGATTCATTAACTATACTTACTGTTGACTTGTGGGATTAATAAATCACAAAATAATAAAATACAGAAAACTTGAATTAATGAGGGGATGGTAATAATTTCCTAGCCAAAGTTGCAATCATAGGAAGTACCAAGAACAGTATTTTATTCACATGATTCATAGCTGTAACACCCTTCTGTCCATGGGGAATTGCCTACTCAAAATATACTTTAATTCATTACATGATATCCTCTCTTCTTTTTATTCTGTTATGTTGTTATATTTCTTACTTTTAAATTTGAGTGAACAATCAAAACCATGACATGCCATATATAAACTCTAATCCTCAATATCCTATTCTTTGAGAAATTGGGACTGCTGGAATATACAATTGATCAGAAAAAAAAAG